TGGCTGCCTCAGGAATTCTGGGAGTTGAAGTCCACAAGTCATAAAGAAGCCATAGCCAGCATGGCTGCCTCAGGAATTCTGGGAGTTGAAGTCCACAAGTCATAAAGAGACCATAGCCAGCATGGCTGCCTCAGGAATTCTGGGAATTGAAGTCCACGGGTGGTAAAGTGGCCAGAATTGGCCCCCGCTGCTCCAGATGTTTCACTGCCTCAACAGCTGGTCTTCGGGCCACTGGAGGGTCTGAACTTTCTCTGGAAAAGACCACCCAGAGGTGGCCCGAAGACGACCCTGCTGAGGTTTTGAAGGAGAAAGAGAGGGGAAAGAGGCAGGGAGAAAAACAGTGAGGGGGGCCCTCTCTCACCATTTCCATGCCGTTCTTCTTCATGCGACGGCAAGATTTGAGGTAAGTGCGGATGCGTTTGCGAGCTCGTTCCTGGAACTCCGGGAATTGCCGGCTGCAGGATTCGATGATAGCCTGGATCTTCTCTTTGGGCTGCTTGGAGATGGGCACCATCCGGTCCAGGTTCTCGTCCACGAAGAGACGCACAAACATCTGCGGAGAGAAAATGGGAGACCGATCGGTAGGCCTGCGTGAGAGAGTTGTGGCCCGCCGGCGGCTGACCGAGCCGGCAGCAGAGTCGGACGGTAGCGAGGTGGTTTGGGAGGAACCTGGGCCAGTCCTGGAGTCTGGGGAAGGCTCGGACGAGGGCTCTGCATCGGAGGCAGAGATGGGGCCAGGGCTGTCCGACAGTTGCCTTCGGAGTCGGACATCAGTGGGGCAGAAGAACAGCTGGAGCCTGTTCCCAGTGTGCTCATGCACAGAGCTGCCAGATGAAGGGAACAGCTAAGGAACAAGGGTTGACTGGGGAGTAAAGGCTCAGGTGGATGGTAAATGGCCCCTCCCAGAGGGAATAAAGAGGAGCGAAAGGGGGAGTGGGGTTTGCAGGAGACAATTAGTTCATTTGGGTGAAGGTCCGTTCCTGCATTCTTCTTAATTATTGTCTGCTACAGAGTGGCGTTTGGAGGATATCGGCCTGGCAACTCTCCCAGTCATCAGCTGCCTTTAGACTCAGACAGCAGTGAGGTGTGGAGGGGTGTCTGGAACCGGTTCCCAGCCTGCGCATGCACAGGGCTACCAGAAGACAAGAACAATTGAGAAAGCAGGATTCGACTCGGGAGTAAGGCCCACACCTCAGAGATGATTGGCCCCTCCCATAGGACACAAAAGAGGAGCGAATGGGACGTGAGCTTTTACAGGAAGCAATTATTTTGTCTGGTCGATTCAAGCTTTGAAAAGCTGTTTGACTCTGTGTCAAGTTTGGCAAGTTGCCCTGCACTTGGCAACTAATTCTCTGGCCGCATCCCAAGTGCGATAAGGTGGGTGTTTATAAACATTCCCCTGAAAGACTGTTTGTGAAGCCTTACAGGCTGGGAATGAACGCAATTCACAGCCGTGGAAATAAAAAGAGGTTTTGCCGGGACTAAGATTGTGTTTCATGCTTTCTGAGGAAACCTAGGTCAGAACAGTGAGAGACCATGGGTGGCCCCTGGCTTTTGACCACAAATGACCTCAATATTTCTGTTGTTCAGCGAGGCAGGGCTCGAGTGAGTAGCGCCCCATTTTTACAGCCTTTTTTTTTTGCCATAGTCATCGCCGCAGTCATTAAGTGAATCATATGGTTGTTAAATGAACCTGGCTTTCCATATTGACTTTGCTTGTATGGTAGGAAGCTGGCTAGGAAGGCTGCAAAATAGCTCTTAAACTTGTATGCCGCTTCACACTCTCTTTACATCCCTCTCTAAGCGGTTTACAGAGTTGGTCTCTTGTCCCCAACAATTTTGGGTCCTCATTTTACCCACCTCGGAAGGATCTCAGAAGGCTGAGTCAACCTTGACCTGGTCAGGATCGAGCTCTTGGCTGTGGGCAGAGTTTGCCTGCAATACTGCATTCTAACCACTGAGCCACCAGATATAGGATAGGTGATGATAGATAGATATAGATGATAAATGGATGGATGTGTGGGGTGTGTGTGTGTGAGAGAGAGACATATGATGATGATGATGAGATACATGATAGATGATAGACATAGACAGACAGATAGAAGGTAGATAAATAGATGATAGATAGATTATTAAAGATAGATCACAGATAGATAACAGATTAAAGATAAACATATTATAGATATTAAAGATAGATAATAGATTAGATAGATAACAGACTAAAGCTATCCAGACAACAGATTAAAGATATAGATGATAGATGATATAGATGATAGATGGATAGATGGATGGATGGATGGATAGATAGATAGATAGATAGATAGATAGATAGATAGATAGATAGATAGATAGATAGATAGATGTGGGGGGGTGAGAGAGAGAGTGAGAGACATGATGATGAGATAGATGATAGACATAGACAGACAGATAGAAGGTAGATAAATAGATGATTAGATAGATAGATGGAAGATAGATATTAAAGATAGATAACAGAGAGATAACAGATTAAAGGTAGACAGACAACAGGTTAAAGATATAGATAGATGATAGATGATATAGATGAGAGGATAGACAGATGGGAGATATAAAAGATAGATTAGATAGATAGACAGACAGACAGACAGACAGCCTGGCAAGATTCTGTCTGTAGGCGAGCATGCAACCGAGAAGCTACTCAGACGTCATCGCCATGGGATGACGTGGGACACATGTGATCGGGGGACACCTTGGTCCGTACATTGAAAGCCTTTAGCCGCTCGGGATCCATGCCCTCCGAGTCGTTCATCTTGTCATTGTCCTCGTGGTCGTCGTGGTCGTCGTCATCATCGTCGGCAGTGGGAGCTCTGCCCACGGTCAGGTCTTCGGGACAGCCGCTGACCTCCGTCTTGACCGAGTCATAGCTGCCAGAACTGTAGGGAGGGGACTGCCGAGAGAGGAAGAAGTCAGACCCACCATGGACCCTTCTGCTTATCCCCCATCAATCCTGCCGGGACTTTCAGCTTTCCCTCAAGGTCACCCTCCGCAGATCCACCTATGAGTCTTTAGAGGAGATATTGACCTTTGGTCAACGTCATAGATGGGCAGACACCTCCCAGCCCAGGGATGGCGAACCTTTTTGTTGAGGTGTGCCGAAAGCGCGCACCGGCACCCACAATGCCTCTTGCCCCCCCCCTGCGTATGCGCACGCAACACCCCACTCTGCCCCCCTGTGCATGCGCGCACGCAACTCCCCCGCCCTTACCTGCACTGCGCATGCGTGCGGCTCCCAGCTGATTTTCGGCCTGTTTCAGGCCTTTTTCGCTTTCCCAGAGGCTCGAGGGAAGCCGCTGCAGCGTCGGGAGGCCGAAAAATGGGACTTCCGGAAATACCGGAAGTGCCCCTTTTCAGCCTCCAGAGGGCGTCCGGAGCCCGGGGGAGGCCGTTTTTGTCCTCCTGGAGACTTGAGGGAAGCCTGTGCAGCCTTTGGAGGCCAAAAAAACGGGCCCATTTTGGCACTCCTGGTATTTCCAGAAGGCCCGTTGTTCGGCCTCCAAAGGTTACAAAGGCTTCCTTCGAGCCTCCGGGAGGGCAAAAACAGCCTCAAACAGGCCCAAAATCAGCTGGGAGGCGCACGCTTGCGCAGGGCAGGTAAGTTTGGCTGGGGCTCACGTGCCCACACAAATGGCTCTGCGTGCCACTGGTGGCACGCGGGCCATAGGTTTTGCCATCACGGTCCTAGCCCTTGCACAACAGCTGTAGGGGCCTTGCAGTTATTTAGCCAGAGTCAGCTTGGGAAGGGTCCCCCTCACCCCCCTCTCTGCTCTCCTCGAAGACAGCTAGATGGCCTCATTGTAGCCCCACCTCACTCGTTATCCCCCAAAGGCCTTCTGATTCCTATCAGAAGGAACCAAGGACAGCAACTTGCAGCCCTATGTTTTGTCTAAACCAGTTTTGGTGAACCTTGGCCCCTTTTAAGGTGAACCTTGGCCTCTTTTCCCCAGCCCCCTGAGGAATTCTGGGAGTTGAAGGCCACAAGTCTTAAAAATTGCCGAGTTTGGAGACACATCCTGCACTGCAACACAGTTGGCTGGATTGGACCCGTGTTGGTGAACCTTGGCCCCTTTAAGATAC